ATAATTTAATACAATCGATTAATATTCAAAAAAATTATTTATTTTAAATTTTATTAATATTAATGGAACAGAGTTTTCAGTACAATTTTCATACCTAATAAATAATGAAATTCAAATAACTAAAAAAGAACTAACTATCAGTAATAACTAATAACATAAAAAACGCGAATATTGAATATCTCTTAAAATTTTTATTAACAAAAATTTATATTATAGTATAGTTGACTCAACTCGACTATATAATTGATAAATTTATAAATATGAACATATAGCTAGAATTTCACATACATTAGTTAAACAAGATGTAAAAAAATATATTTTGAAGTTAGAGAAAACATTATGTTGCAAAAAAGATAATAGAATTATCATCAAGATTAAAAAATAAAATTTTTAGGTAAAATTGTAATTTTGAGATTTTATTATATTTTTTAGTTGTGGTACCGCGTCTATATTATAACTTTAATAAAGTTATGAGCTGAATTAAATTATAATCGGTTGAATTGTAAAGTAATTCATTATGTATTTTCTTTCTTGTAATTTTATTTTCAAAATAGAGGACATAATTAAAATATGAAACAAATTCTCACAATTGTTGTTAGATACCTTATCCTAGATGTTTTGGGATGAGGGCCTGAGTCCGGCCTATAAACATGGATCTGCCCATAATTACAACAAAATATTTTTGTCAGAAACTTTTCATTAGAAAATTCAAAAGAGAGTAGTAACATTGAAATATTCTTTAAATTATCATTGAAATTTCACTGTAATATATTTTCGTTGAAATTTTCATTGAAATATCATCATTTTTCTTGTAGTAAAAGTAGAGCTATAAATCAATAAAAAAATTTACGTTATATATAATATTGCGATGAAAATTGTTGGAAAGTCTTTAATTATTTTAGTAGTATTATAGTAACTACAAAAGAGGTAAGAATGAAGTTCTATGTAATAAAAATGTAAGACTATGTAATGAGAAAACATATAGCTCGCATTTAATCCATAAATAAAAAAAGTGATAAAATTAATTAATGTCATATATAAATTGGAGCTGACTAAGGGAAAATATAAACATATTCAAGATGAACATTTATTTTAACTAGAACTTTTAATCACATAAAAAATATATATTTTTGGCATTAAAAATTTGGTATGATAGTTTTAATTCTTTTAGTTACAAATTTAATTACTGTCTGCCATAAAAATATTCAATTTTGAAATACTCAATATTTATTTATTTCTTACCCTTTTTATAATTAAGATATCACACCATTTCTTTCCAATGACTTTTAATTTAACCAATGTGTTGTAATAAAATAAAAATAATATACTTATTTCTATTAATATAAAATAACACACACACACACACACACACACACATATATATATATATATATATCTACTAATTTAGAATAATAAATGGACCTAAAAGTATCTTATAAAATAAGTTACGTACAAATCCATGTTAAACAAATTTTATTAAGTATGAAAAAAGCATAAGATCAACTTGTGTTATATTTTGCTTACATAGATCTGAAATATTCATACAAATAAGAAAAACATACAAAATGGATGTAAACTTACAACTATTACTAACATTAAGTATGCGAATTAAAAAGAGAAATAAAGGAGTTGTAATTTAAACAATTATTCAGTTACTGCATAAAAGAAACACCATAATGGTTGTAACATATAACATATATTTTCAATGTATACGAAAATGAGTTAATTACTTAATATTTTATCAAACAATGAAAAAATATAAACTTTTTATTCTTATAACCAGTATAAAAGTACATTTTTATCAAATATATTATTATTATAAATAAATAAATAAGTAATATTAAATAGTATTTATAGTATTTGATTATATTAGTTGTAGCCTAATAAATAAGATACTTTGATTACAATGTCATTACATAAAGTACGTATAAAAAAATGACGCAATACATATAAATGTGTTCTAATTCTTTTAACAAAAAAAATATTATTTGTAAATAGAATAAGAAACAAATAAAACAATAGTAAATCAATGAGAAAAGAAAAAAAAATTTGAATTTTCTTAGAGAAATATGAATACCAATATCTAGAAACAAAAGTCTTTTAAAATTACTACCTTTTTATTCTAGCGTTTAAATATACGAACTCTGTTAGAAATTAGTTCTTATAAATAATGATCCTATATTATCAAAAAATTTAAATAATTTAAAAAAATAAAAAATTTGTAATACATAATGTAAATTTTAATAATAACTTTGTAATAATAAACTTCACAGAGCGGCTAAAAGTATCATAATATAATAGAATTCTAATTATTCTCTTCTCAAATATTTTAACAAATGATATGCTTCTTAATATTGTCTCATTGTCAAGAAAAAATCTTTATCTTGAATTTTCGAAGCATTATGTATAATGGGAAAAAATTGGACAATAAAATCATTAAAGAAGTTATTAGACACATAAGTACTACAAATTCGAACGAATGTGAAAGATATTATTTATGATAAGCTAAAATCATTGCACCAACCAAGATGGTCAACGATTTACAAACAATAGATTATATAGTTCGTTTGTCTTCTAAATAAGTAACATTGAAGAAGAACATGTTGAAGCCTGATCAAAACATTCTTGAATGTTTGAATGAAATTGACCCTTTTTATAGGAATATTTACAATCTCATTGTGTATTTTGCTCGAACATATGTGTAATTATTTTCCAGTACGTACTTCATGTAATGTGATGATTTTAAAAAGTAATTTAACGTCTCGAGAGAAATACATGTAACCAAAATTTTGGAAAGACAACGTTTATTTGGAGATGAAATTCATTTTCACCCCGTGGGGCAATGCCTCCATGGGGTAGGTATGGACATAGTAATGAAATTGTTTATACAATGATAAAAAAATATATCAACAATTTAATTATACTGTTGGTTATTTTACAAAGATATTCATGAACTGTTAGTAGAAATACCTTATAAAGATCATACAATCATGAAATTTGACTATATGTTTGACCAATATATTTATAAGTGTTTGAATAAAGTAGACGTTTTGCCAAATGAATTAAGACAAATTTGCAATACCATTGATGTATTGGGCTCCAACGAGTATGAATGTTTCTTTTGAAAACGTTAAAACGAAAATGAAAGAAAATCATTCTCTAATCATCTAACATAATTAAATAAAATAACTAATGCATCTATAATATAAATTAGGTTCTTGTTTAGTTATTTAGTGTTTTTTTTTTTTTTTCCATTAGGGACTGTATTTTTCTTGGGGTTGTAATATGTTATTTCATTATTTTTATATTAGGACATCATTATGTTATTTAAAAAAAATATTAGAAGCTTATTTGATCTATATCTTACTTCGTTCATGCAATGATATGTTTAATAAATTGATTAATTAATTTTACTAAATTTAATCGGTAAAAAATATTCATCACCATCAAGAATAACTTATAAATAATAAGTTATGTAGTTCGTTTTTCTTCCAAATAAATAACACTGAAAAGGGAATGTTTGATTGAAAAGGGAATGTTTGATTCTGATCAAAACAATTTTCAATGTTTGAATATGTTGTCACTTTTTAATAGAAATATTTAAAATATTACTTGTGCATTGTGTTCAATCATATGCGCAATTACTTTTGAGCACGTAATTTTCACGTAATTTGAATATTTCAAAAAATAATTTAGAATTTCCAAAGAAGTACATGATTTTGGAAAGTGGACCTTTATTTAGAGATGAAATTTTGTCTATATGGAAAGAGAGAGAGAGAGAGAGAGTAATGTAGTAGTTTATACAATGATTAAAAAACATATCAAAAATTTTAATGATACAGTTGGTTATTTCACATAGATATTTATGAATTGTTAATAAAATACCTTATAATGATCATACACAATCATGAAGTTTGACTATATGTTTGGCTAAAATATTTCTAAGTGTTGAATAAATCAGACATTTGCCAAATTAATTATGAATTTTTCAAAACTATTGATATATTAAGCTCAACGAGTATGAATGTTTCGCATGAGAACGTCAAACTAAAATGAAAAAACATCACTCTTGAATCGACTATAAATAAATAAAAGAACACACGCATCAATAATATACATTAGGTCCTTATTTAGTTATTTAGTACTTTTTTTTTTTATTAGGGATACATTTTTCATATTACTTTTGTTGAGGTTGTAATATGTTATTTAAATTATTTCATGTTACGAAACCATTGTGTTATTTTTTTAAAACAAAATATATTAGGAGTTTATTTGTTGAATATTTTATTTTGTTCCTACAATCATATAAATAAATTAATTAAGTTATCTTACTAAACTTAATCGGCCAATAACATTCGTCACCACGTGCATCGCACGTGCACTTTACTAGTACTTTTAAAGTGGTGTTGGACATCCCCGGAAGTTACGTCATCGGATAAACCTGGAATGTTAGGGTATCCCGTCGCCGCCGACGATGAATGACCGCTCGTAGATGCTATATTTTTTCACTTGGACGTCTTCCATGAAAACCCGACATTTTTGCCATTAAATAAAATGTATATATACATATATAATCTTCTAAAAGATCCTCTGCAGAATGAATACGTTGCTTTTCCCAACAAAATTGTTCAGAGGTTAATAAGAATCAAGAATGTAGAATAAAAATGACCTTTTCAATCTACAACATCATTTATTTTTTTACCAAAACTATAAAGCTAAAACATTTTCCTTAATTAATGCAGAAGGAATAGTTCAACTTAAACAAGACAATAATTTAATACATAACAATATAATCTCCTACATATAGGGTTGGTGAAAAAAAAATTACTAGACAAATTTCTTCACGTCCTCTAACAAAGTCAACAAACAAATCTCCCGCAGCAAACTTTCAAATGTCACGAGGCGCTACAGATCCATGACCCATCTACAACTCACTATAAATACCCTACAAACCTTCTCTTATTTTTCCTCACCACTCCAAAATATATAATATTCCAATCATGAATTTCTTCACCCCAAAAAACTCCCTGCCCTTGATTTACATACTCCTCACCGTCTTACTTTTGGCGAACGTGAAATGGGCCTCGGCCGCAAACTGCAGCTCATGCCCACCCAAAATGTGCTGCAGCAGATTCGGCTTCTGTGGCACAACCGATGATTACTGTGGCAACGGTTGTCAGTTTGGACCGTGCACTGCTCCACGAGGCAATAACGGAGTAAATGTGACTAATATTGTGACCGATGTTTTCTTTAACAATATAATTAAAAAATCCAAGCCCAGCTGCAAGGGGAAAGGATTCTATACGCGCTCGGCTTTTCTTTACGCGCTACTAGATTTTCCCGAGTTCGGGACTCAGGGAACAGTAGATGCTTCCAAGCGCGAGGTTGCGGCGTTTTTCGCGCATGTTACGCATGAGACTGGGTGTAAGTTTTTGTATTTATATTTTTTGATTTTTCATACTATCAAAATATACTTTAGATAGGTGAAGTCTTAGACGAACGTATTTTTTCAGACGAATGTGCATTTCAAAACAAGGTATCATACTTAAAAAAAGAAAAAAAAAAAATCAGTTAGTTTAACGTAAATAAAAGTACGTTAACTCACGCTATAAGTATGCATTCCTGTTTAAAAAGTATGACTGATTGTCAGTCTGTCTTTCAACTTCGATAATTTAAGAAATTATCAAAGAAATCGATATAAATTATCAAAAAAAAAAAAAGTAAATCTTAGTCAATTAGTTACCAAATTATTGTGAATCTTGCAGATATGTGCTATATTGAAGAGATCAACGGTACGTCAAAAGACTACTGTGACAAAACTAACACGCAATATCCATGCACGCCTGGCAAGGGCTACTACGGGCGGGGCCCGCTACAATTATCGTGGAACTACAATTATGGCGCGGCTGGTGATAGCATACATTTCAATGGATTGAATGATCCTGATATTGTAGCTAGAGATTCGGTTATCTCATTCAAGACCGCACTCTGGTTTTGGAAGTTAAATTGTCACGACCTTATAACGACTGAGAAAGGATTCGGAGCCACAATTAATGCCATAAACGGAAAACTTGAATGCAATGGAGCAAATCCGGCCACGGTTGCTAGTCGTGTTAAGTACTACTTAAACTATTGTAAGCAACTCGGAGTTGATCCGGGGGCAAATCGGAGTTGCTAGATAACAAGAGAAAGGATATGAGTGAAAGCCTCTTGTGAGGAAGAAATAATATTAAGAAGAAATGAGTTTGTGGAGTGTTTGCAAATCGAGTGATGAAACTTTAGCTTTTAAGCTGAAACTTTTTTATTTAGTGTTTATGGAAATGCGAGCTTCTGGATTTACCTATAAACTATTTACTGTTATGTTACCGTGGCACTGAGACAATAATTTTGTGCTATTATATGCTTTCGTCACTATTGACACCTTTTTGATGATGATATAGTTTTGTAACTATTGATAAGTATTGTTGAATCTTAGAAATTAAGAACTATATATAAATCAATGCCAAATTCAGTCAAATAAAATCTCATCCATACTTGAAATAATAGTGAAAAAACTTGTAAAATAAAACTTCTTATGGTTTGTGGTTTGAAAGTTGATAGACAAATCAGGCTGAGCTTGCGATAGCTTGCACAGATATCTCTACTTGTATAATACAACAGTCATTCACGACAAAGCCTTTATTAGGATCATTCACCACAGCAAGCTCAATAAATGAAGCCCATCCCCAGTTAAGGTTTCCAGGAGCTGAAAACCAATTAGAAGCTACAACACAAGATGTTCCAATAGTAAAAAATTTTGATAAAATAACAAAAGGAGATTTACTTTGGAAACTTCAATTGTGTATGATGACTTACCAACTTTACTTTCGAGTTTACTGCTAAGCTGATTCTTCATGCGGATTGTAAAGCATGTGTGCAAACGTTCGTTGTTACCATTCGTAGGAATATAGTGTAAGAAGATAGATAAGTAGCGTCCACTAGCTTCTCCATATCCATTTCTGTACATCCTCACACACCTGGCACAAAAATAGTTTATGTCGGCTAGAAGAACAAAAAAAGAATACATATAATTGTGAGAAGCACGGAAGATCAACTAACATATGTACCATTTATAGTCTCCTACAGAGAACTCTGGTGAAACCCAATCACTCCCCAATTTAGAGAAGTTGGGAATGTTCCATTCCCGCTTGTAGGGAGCATCAACAACATTCTTCAAAGACAGACAATCAATCATTGCTTTATTTTCTTTCACAAATACTTCAGCACCAAACACACAATTGTCGTGGCTAAGGTATCCATTATGAGGATCATTAAGTTCTGTCTTGGAGATAAACTTGAGAAAGCCCCATTTTGTCTTCATTGCAAGAAAACGCCGATATTTTCCTGATACCACTATCTACTTAAAAAAAAAAAAACACATACACGAACATATCTAACTATCCACCCCAAATGCAGTTGAGGAATAGAAAATTTACCCTGAGAATAGCGATAATTGCATGAAATCTGATTAAACAAGCAGATCGTGAAAACGGCATTAACCTCCCAGCCTGCAGGCAAGCCATCATCCACAATGGCCAAGTACACTGACACGAACCCTTCGTCTTTATCCCTTCCATTTGGGTAAATCTTAAGCTTCCTGCACAAGTAAACGAGAAGTCACTTGTAGTGTAAGTGCATCGTATAATTTTCAAAATGCATGAAACATGAAATAAAATATTTTCTTTGAAGTGAATTGGTAGTTGTGTTTTGTGCTTTATATATAACACGAGCACGGGTCACGTACCACTTGTATCCCCCGGCCTCAAATTCCCTCGTCTTGAATTTCTTGATTTCGTGCTTCTCAAACAAGGAAAAAGATTTGATTTTGACCAAAAAATGAGCGGGTGAAGCCTCTCTCGTTTCCATTATGGCTGCTGTAAGTAACATAAACTAAATAAATTCAAACCAAAACATGCATATTATGAAAACAACAAACAATATCTATGTGTTATAAAACTCGTAGGAAAACGAATTGAGGCTTAGCACTTAAAGCAGAACCTAGGCGGATTCGATGGTTGTTTTCAGTTCCTTTCTGACTTGCAAGTGTGTCTCTTTAGCCAAAAAAGAAAAAGGAAAGGGTTCCATATATGCAGATTGTTGCCTCTTACGATTCTCGAAATAAACAGAGTATGAGAAGAGCATTAATTAAACGCCTTTAATAGGATCCTCCGTCTCCTAGTTTAAAGTGTATGACTCAACCGTTGGAATCCAATTAAATAAAATTAACAGGACGAATTTAACGGGGAACTAAAAAATCCGAAATTTTACTTGGAGTCAACTTCGACCTTTCTATTTCTTCAACATCTCTCCTATAGATATATATATATATATATATATATATATATATGTACATAAATGAAGGATTTTACTCAGTTAAATTTTGGTGTTTTGTAATTGCATGTGTTGATGTGCTGTGTAGTCTATAAAATTTGGTGTTTTGTAATTGCACGTGTTGATGTCTTCACCGGAAAAATTGCATTATTCGTCCACTAACTATACTTCGTTGCACTTTCGTCCTTTAATTGTTTCCGGTTTATTTTTTGGTAATTTTAGTCCAACTCGACATTCCGGTACTCATTTTTGCCGGAAAAGTTGACGTGGCGCCCAGTCAGATCGTAGTTTTGATTTTCGACATGATGTGGCACGAGATGGGCCCAAGTGTTTAGACACATGGACACATAAAGGACGAAAGTGCAAAGAGAGTATAGTTAGCGGACAAATAGTGCAATTTTTCCACAAAATAATATTAAAACAAAAAGAAGAAAAAGCTTTAAATTCCACATGTGAAGGCATGGGGATAAAAGAAAATAATAATAATAAAAAAGAAATGAAAAACAAAATAAATATTTAATGAGAAATAAATATTTTTATTTAATGATTAAATATTTAATAAAAAACGAAAAAATTATCATTTTCTATTTTTTTATTTAATAAAAAATCATTTTTTATTTAATAAAAAAAAGAAATATTTAATGAGTAATAAATATTTTTTATTTAATGGTTAAATATTTAATAAAAAAAGAAATATTTATCATTTTTTTTAATGAAAGAATATTTTTTATTTAAATAAGAAAACAAAATATTTAATGATTAAATAAAAACGTAATATTTAATAAAAAATAATTATAAAACGAAATAAATATTTCAGAGTAATAAATATTTAATAAATATTTTCTATTTAATGGTTAAATATTTAATAAGAAAAGAAATATTTTCGTTTTTTGATTAAATATTTCATTTTTAGTTAAATACTTAATAATTAAACAAAAAAAAATTATCACTCATTATAAATTTATTTATTTTTTTTTTCAATATTTCGTTTTTATTTAATCATTAAATATTTCATTTTTATTAAATTAAAAAAACAATTTTTATTAAATAAAGAAATTATATTTTTTTATTATGTTTAAAATCATTAAACAAAGTTTTTTTTTTTTTTTTATTTTTATCCCCATGTCTTCACATGTGGAATTTAAAGCTTTTTCTTCTTCTTTTTTTTTAATATTATTTTGTGGAAAAATTGCACTATTCGTCCACTAACTATACCCTCGTTGCACTTTCGTCCTTTATGTGTCCATGTGTCTAAACACTTGGGCCCATCTCGTGCCACATCAGGCCGGAAATCAAAACTATGATCTGACTGGGCGCCGCCACGTCAGCTTTTCCGGCAAAAATGAGCACCGAAATGTCGATTTGGACTAAAATTATCAAAAAAATGTTAGTGTACAAAAAATAAACCGGAAACAATTAAAGGACGAAAGTACAAAGAGGGTATAGTTAGTGGGACGAATAGTGCAATTTTTTCTCCTCACTACAACAAAAAAGAGTTCTAACATAAATATGGTGACTTTTTTTAATAAATGTAATTAAATTGATGTCTTTGTGACGCTTTTTAAAAAGCATTACAAAAATAAAACTATAGCAACGGTTTTTTTAAAAATGTAATTAAATCATGTCACTCTTTAAAGAGTGTCACTGTATTAACCAGTATTGAGACATTTATTTAAAAGTGTAATGAAATTATGACATATACAAAAGTGTCGTCGTGTTTAATTATATTGCGACACCTTTTGAAAACTGTATTAAAATAATAACACAATTTTAGAAGATGTCACGATTTTTACTGATATGACAATATTTACCTCAAATTGTAAGTATCTTATGACACTGGTACAATTTGTGTAGCCGTTTTTAAGCATATAACAACACTGAAGAAAAGCGTAATGATTAGTTAATGACATTATTATACAAATGTCGCATTATTTTACAATATGATGATGTTATTTTAAAAATGTTATTGAACTATGGCGCTTATACAAAAATGTTATTCTTTTTTATCTATACTAGTGTGTATCCCGTGCGCTGCACAGAGGGGTTTTTACTTAAAACCTTTTTTAAGATTTTATATTAAACATAGTTATTTATGTTTAACATCTTATTATTATAAAAAAGAAATACCAAATATGAAAAATTATATATTATTTATTTGAATATAATGAGTGTCCCCAACCAAACTAATAACATCCAACATATGATATATGATAAAATTAATTATATGATTGTCATACTTTTTGAAAAAATATACATATATTTCTAATAAACATGTAAGATCCGCATTTAAATTTGTATTTGGATATGAGATGAAAAATGAATATGTACAAATAAAAAAGTACCAAGAACCTACATAAAATGAGATTCTTTATAAACTTTAAAATATTTTATAGTTAAGCAAATATTAACAAACAAAATCATCAATTAAGTTGAACTTATTGAATATAAAATATAATTTATGATATCATTGACCATATTTACCCGTTGTATTTAAAGTTATCATTGACCATATTTTTATGAATTAAGGTTTACAAAATATCTTTTTCAAAATAACAATTTTTTTTTAATTTGATTTTGACTTTTTCATCCAACCGCCATTTTCCACAAAAATAAAAATAGTATTTTGGAAAATTTTAGACGTGAAAATCAAATAAAATTAATTTAATAATAATCGATTAATTTAATATTATTCAAAATTGTTTAATTCGGTCAACCCGATCTTAGTGCACGTTTAATTGAAACAATCGCTTACAAAAAAAAAGGTAATCGCTTACAAAAAAAGGAAGTGAAATCTATCTATATAATATAAATCGGATTTGAAAAAAAAAGGAAATGAAATTTCATAATTAATTAATTTAAATTGATGTTATCCGATTTATATCAACTCCCTTCCAAAAAAAAAGGAAATATCCGATTCCTACCAAATCGATTAAAAAAAAAAGGATTATGATATACGTCCAAATAAATTACAATTGAAATGTAGGCGGGATTATGAAAAAAAAAATAAAAAAACTTTACCGAATAAAGTAATAAAACGAAAAAAAAAGCGGGAATATGAAGCGGGAAAATAAGATAATTTTTTTTGAGTTTTTTGAACAATTTTTCTTAGTCGTAATAATAGTAATAGATTTCCAAAATGTTACCACACATTTTTTTCTATTTTTCTTGTTTTTATTAAATTTTATTTACATAAGATATACATTGGTTAATTTTAAATTGAATCTAAAAGTCAACTCCTCACACTTTTCGAAAAATGTTACCACACAATTTTTTTTTCTTATTATGTTTTATTTACATAAGATATACATTAGTGGTTAATTTCAAATTAAATCTAAAATTCAACTCCTCACATTCTTGAATTTGAATTTTTAAATAAGAAAATGTGTTTCCATATTTTTTGGTAGTTAGAATATGTTGGATTCATTTATCTATAACTAATCATACACGTATTCAAAATTTGAACCCAAACAAAATTTTTTGAATTTTTTGCTAACAAAATCACCTTCCCATAATTTATTTATTTCGAAAAATGTTACCGCACAATCTTTTTAATTTTGTTTTTCTATTAAATTTTATTTACATAAAATATACATTTGTTAATATTAAATTGAATTTAAAATTCAACTTATCACAAATTTGTATGTATATATATATATATATATATATATATATATATATATAGAGAGAGAGAGAGAGAGAGAATTCTCTTTTTTTTTTACATATTTAAAAAAAAATCTAATCAAATTTTGAATCCCGAATTAAAATCGAATTGTAATGTGAACTGAAAAGATTTGAAATCTAATCATGTTGTAGATAAGGGAAATCCATGGCAAAAAAAGGGGATGAAAAAAATTCAAATTAAATTTAAGGGAGAAAAACAGTTTTTTAAGCGGGAATTTGAAATATTTTTTCAAACATTTTTTCTTCTTCGTATTATATAGTAATAGATGACAACGCTTCTCTAAAATACGTAGTTATTTAATAATATTATGGCTTTTATAAATGTGTCGCCTTATTTACCAACATAAAATCACTGGCTCTTTAAAAAAAGTAAAACTTAATAGTTGTGACCTTGTTTAATAAACGTTAACAAAATAACAATATAATGAAATGTTTTAAAATTATAATTATGTAATGAATTTTTATTAAAAAAGTCATAGTAATAATTAATATAATGTTGTTTTTTAAAAAATAAAATTAAATTACAATTCATATACAAAAGTGTCAGACTTCTTTTTATACTATGATGATAAAATTTTAAAAGTACTTTTAATATATAGTCATATTTGGCGTTATCCTTTTAAAGCAAACTGCAAATAATTTGTTCAAAGTATGTAGGTTTCTTACCGAACTAAATATTCCTGAACAAAAACTCGTTTGAGCTCGTTCATGTTCAATAAGAGCTCATTCGTCATTTGTTTATCAAGTCGAGATCGAACAGAAAACTAGGCTCGTTCAATAGTTGAACGAATACGAGCTTGTTCGCAAACATTCAATAATGTTCAAGACCATTGATTTAACATATTTTAATTTATTTTTATATGTATATATATGATATTTTTAATAAAAAAAATCTAAAATATGAAGATATTTTAATTTATTGTAATTTATTTTTTATTTTCGAGCTTGAATCATGAGTTCGAAAAAATATCTCGTATTAATCAAATAATTTTAAAATATTTATTTACCTGCACTGGAGCAGTCAAATCTACCCCGTATTCAGAACAGGCCTGGCCAAGTCTGACTCGTTAGCTGAGCGGGCTAGATCCAGGTCTCAAATTCGGCTCCGACTTGGCCCGCCCATGCCGGACCCACCCCGGCCTGGCCCGAATTAATAATTGTTATATAGTGAATCAATTAAAAAAATAAAAGCATAAATAAACAAAAACCAGAGATTGCTGAAGAGCCCTAGATGGTCACCTTCTCCAACTTGCTGTTGTATCTCCAGTCTCCACCTCTCCCTAACATCCACCGTACAAGTAATTCCTCCAAATTATACTCTCTTTTTGTGTGTGTTCAATTGCTCATTTGTTATGGCCGCTTGATATTGTGACCGACGCTTTCTTTAACAAGATAATTAAAAAATCCCAGCCGAGTTGTAAGGGAAAAGGATTCTATACGCGCTCCGCTTTTCTGCACGCGCTACGAGATTATCCCGAGTTTGGAACTGTAGAAGCTTCCAAGCGCGAGGTTGCAGCGTTTTTCGCGCATGTTACGCATGAGACTGGGTGTAAGTTTTTGTATTCATATTTTTTCGGTTTTCATGTGTTATTTCACGTTGCCTATCAAAATATGCTTAGATAGGCGAAGTGTTAGACGAATGTATTTTTTCAAACGAATGTGCATTTCAGAACGAGATATACTACTTGAAAAAAACAATTAGTTTAACATAAATAAAAGTACGTTAATTCACATTATAAGTATGTATTTCTGTTCAAAATGTATGACTGATTGTCATGTTGTTAGGTTGTCTAACAAACACTCTGCGTATTTCGATAATTTACGAAATTATCAAATAAATCTCTACAAATTATTAAAAAGTAGATCTTAGTCCATTAGTTACCAAATTATTATCGATCATGCAGATATGTGCTACATTGAAGAGATCAAGGATACGTCAAAAGACTACTGTGACAAAACTAACACGCAATATCCATGCACGCCTGGCAAGGGCTACTACGGGCGGAGCCCGCTACAATTATCGTGGAACTACAACTATGGCGCGGCTGGTGATAGCATAAATTTCAATGGATTGAATGATCCTGATATTGTAGCTAGAGATTCGGTTATCTCATTCAAGACCGCACTCTGGTTTTGGAAGTTAAATTGTCACGACTTTATAACGACTGGGAAAGGATTCGGAGCCACAATCAATGCCATAAACGGAAAACTTGAATGCAATGGAGCAAATCCAGCCACGGTTGCTAGTCGTGTTAAGTACTACTTAAACTATTGTAAGCAACTCGGAGTTGATCCGGGGGCAAATCTGAGTTGCTAGATAACAAGAGAAAGGATATGAGTGAGAGCCACTTGTGAGGAAGAAATAAAATTAAGAAGAAATGAGTTTGTGGAGTGCTAGCAAATCGAACACTAAATCGTGTGAACTTTAGCTTTTAAGCAGAAACTTTTTTTGTTTAGTGTTTATGGAAATGCTAGCTTCTGGATTTACTTATAATTTATTTAGTTTTATGTGGTGAGATGAGGCAGTAATTTGTGTTGTTATATGCCTTCTTCATTATTGACACCTTTTCGTTAATGATATAATTTCCTAACTATTAACAAGTATTGTTGTATTTTAAAAATTAAGAACTATATATAAATCAATGCTAAATTAATTCAACTAATAGTGAAAAACATGTAAAAAAAAATCTTCTGGTTTGAAAGTTAATAGACAAATCAGACCGAGCTTGCTATAGCTTGCACAGATATCTCTACTTCTATAATACAACAGTCGTTCACGATAAAGCCTTCATTAGGATCATTCACCGCATCAAGCTCAATAAATGAAAGCCATCCCCAGCTACTCTCTCCAACAGGTGAGAACCAATTAGAAGCTACAACACAAGATGTTCCAAAAGTAAACAAGTTTGATAAAATAAGAAAAGGAGATATACTTTGGGAATTTCAAGTGCTTATGATGACTTACCAACTTTACTTTCATGTTCAGTGCAAAGTTGATTCATCATGCGGATTGTATAGCATGTGTGCAAACGTTCGATGTTACCATTCATAGGAATATAGATTAAGAAGAGAGATAAGAAGCGTCCGATAGCATCTCCAATTCCATTTCTATACATTATCACACTCCTGCACAAAAATAGTTTCTGGCGGCTAGAAGAACTAAAAAAGAATACATATATATGTGAAAAAAAAGCCTCGAAGATTAGGCAAAAATTTAATTTAGTCCGCTAACTTGTTCATTGTCCACTTTTGGTACACTATCTTTCCCCTCATAAAAAATGGTCCATTATGTTACACTTTTCATCAGTTTTAGTACACTAATCCCGTGGCCCGAGATTACGAGATGGCAAATTAGGTTTTTATCCCACCACGTCAATATCTTATCCCTCCACGTAGTTCCAATCCCGGTCCACGTCATCTTCTAATCCCGCCAACTAGAGTAGCGTACTTAATCTGATGAAAAATGTAACATAATGGACCATTTTTTATGAGGGGAAAGATAGTGTACCAAAAGTGGACAATGGACAAATTAGCGGACCAAAATTGAATTTTTGCCCGAAGATTAAGTAATATATGTACCAGTTATGGCCTCCGACAGAGAACTCTGGTGAAACCCATTGACTCCCCAACTTAGAGAAGTTGGGAATGATCCATTCCCGCTTGTAGGGAGCATCAACAACATTCTTCAAAGACACACGCTCAATGACTGCATAGTTTTCGTTAACAAAAACTTCAGCTCCAAACACACAATTGTCGTCGTGGCTGAGGTAACCATTGTGAGGATCATTAAGTTCTATCTTGGAGATGAACTTGGGAAATCCCCATTCTCTCTTCATTGCAAGAAAACGCCGACTTATTCCTGATACCACTATCTACTTTAAAAAAAACACGTACACGAACATATCTAAATTTCCACACAAACTTAATGCAGTTGAGTACTATAAAAGTTACCCAAGGAATAGCGATAATTGCAGGAAATCTGATTAAACAAGCAAATCGTGAAGACGGCATTAACCTCCCAGCCTGCAGGCAAGCCACCAAAATCCACAATGGCTAAGTACACCGACACATATCCTTCATCTATTTCCCTTCCATTTGGGTAAATCGAAAGCTTCCTGCACAAGAGAATGACAAGTCATGTCATATTTTCATTATTTTTCAAGTGAATTTCTAGTTGTTGTTTTCTTTTGGGATTTATAACCGGAGCACGGGTCACGTACCAATTGTATCCCCCGGCCTCAAATGCACTCGTCTCGAATTTTTCGATACCATGCTTCTCAAACAAGGAAAAAGATTCGATTTTGATCAACAAATGAGCGGGTGAAGCCTCTCTCGTCTCCATTATCGCCACTATAAGCAATACAAACTAAATAAATTCGAACGAAAACATTCATATTATGAAAGCAAACAATATATAAATGTTGTAAAATTCGTAAGGACAACGAGTTGGGGCTTACGCACTTAAAGCACCTACACAGAAACTAGGCATAACAATATTAGTAAAAAAATTTATAAAATTTGTTAAATAATACAAATAGACTAGCATAACAAAACAAATATATAAAAGGTTTACGTTGTAATTCCTTACCATCAGTTGCTGCCGTGGAGTCCATGGCTGCTTTCAGTTCCNAATTAAGAAAGGGTTTCCTATATGCAGATAGTTGCCTCTCACAATTCTCTTACCATCGGAATCCAATTAATTAAAAAAAACAGAACAGAATTAATGGAGACTAAAAATTCGGAAATTTAGTTGGAGTCAACTTCGACCTTCTTTCACTTCTTAACATCTTTCCCTATACATTTATCTAGGGTGTTGCTATTTGTTGCCTAAATTCCACTCTATATATAATTTTAAAATAGATTGAGTGTAAACTTTCATGCTTCGGAATCTTATTTGCCAAAAAATCATGTTTTGGAGTTAAGTTTGGATATAAATTAATATTTGTATTAATTGTATGTTAATATCATATCCTATTATAACCATTGAATTGGAAATATATTTTAAAAGTTGATAATTTTTGTATTTCTTATCGGTTTTACATATATAATATATCAAATTAATCTTCTTTTGATGAGATTCGATTTGACATCCATATTGTATATATAAAATAAATAAATTATATTTATCTTTATAATAATAATAAAATTATTTATTAAAATTAATTAGAAAATAAAATTATTTATCAATTAATATATTTATGTTTAATGTAGTTATATGTTATAAGGTAGAAAATCTATTATAATACAATATAACACATATAAGTCGCACAAGTAACATCTCCTATTTTTATTATTTGTCACTTTGACTTAATTGATCATTGATAAAATAAATTTTGTTTTAGATATTTTGTTCATATTTTTTTATTTTTAACCTTTCATCTAATACACAGTGTCTCTTCATATCCCATCTCCATCGTTTCCAATAACATCCATTAAATAGGGGTAATATTGTCAAGAAAAAAAGTCTTAATTAGTTTGTTGCATTTGAATTGATAATATGAAGTCCGTTTGTATTTTACTATTTATTTATATATATATAACACACAAAAAAATATATATATTCTTATAAATAAAATTTAAATTTATTTATCAAACTAAATTAAATTATATCAAATAAAACTATAAATTATATTATAAAGTAATAGAAATTGGTATGTATTCTTTTAAAAATTATATTTATTTCAAATCTAATTGGTATGTTGTCAATGTAATAAAAATAAATAATTATTTTTACTAAAGTTACATATAAAGTTAAAAAACTGTGAAACACGACTGATACGACACTTGATGTATTAGACATCCAATTAAGTAAAAACATTAATCTATTTTTCTTAATATTAAATAAACATATTCTACACTTATGCATATATATATCATCATATTATTTCTATTTATTTAAGATTTATATTTTTGTACTTATGTAATAGTAAATAATATCGATATTTTTATATGATATAAGTAAAACAATTCAACACGGGTTGATATTTTCATTTAATGTACGGGTGTGTAATTATTATGATTAAAAAATTATAATTTGACAATTTAATTAAAACCCAAAGTAATGTTTTATATAAAATTAAATTATTTTAGTTTTTAAAAAAATAAACAAATTTAATATTTTTTACCAAAACTTTCTAACTCAACACCCGTGTAATACACGAGTATTGTACTAGTTTCTACTTATTACCAAAAAATAACTAGTGAGTAGCCCGTGCGATGCATGGATAAATTATATTAAATAATAATTATAAATAGGTCTTGAGTTCGAGTCACTCAATGAAAGAAGTGGGGAACTACTATTATCCTCTTGTAAAATATTATGAAGACAATATTAAATACTACTTAAATAAAGACATTATAACCTGTTTGAGAGAAAATTTACCTAGTATGTATAAAATAAATATTGACATGATACCGAGAATTATGACGGTACTTTCGAAAATTTGAGTACATAATATTTCAAAATTGTTATTTTTTTTTAAGTTGTTATCGTTAAAAAAAAATGTACGCGTAAAAATTTCACCCTTCATGCAAATTTATTAGTTTCACAAATACTGGTCCAGATTAATGTAAACTGTAACAAATAAAATGGATTTAATACATAACTAATAATAAGACAATAATTGAAGACAATATTTAATTCTGCATTTTTTCAATTAACTTTTTATTATATGTATTTAATATTTTTGGGGGAGAAATATGTGATAAATCTTATTCTCTTTATATATATACATATATATTAAATACATCTAAAATATTATATCACATATATAAAAGGTATATAACTTATTCTATATTGTTCTTAAAAAATATTTGAAGCCACTTTCTAAACTATTTTTTAAGTCAAACATGTGAAGGTGAGAGAGAGAAAAAGTAGCTGTGAAGGTTTTTATTTTTCTTTTGTTTTTTCTGTCAAGATGTGAAGGTGTGTGTGCAGGTGTGTGTAGGTGGTTGTGTGTGTGTGTGTGGGTGCATGTGTTTTTTGTGCATGTGCGTGTGTTTGTGTGTGTTGGTGTGGGTAATGTGGCGTGTGTTTATATGTGTGTGCGTGAGGGGGGTAGAGAGAGAGGGTGAGGTGGTAGGGGCAAGTGAGTTGTGTGGTGGAGGGGGTCACACTGCTTTGGTGTTGTAAAATACTAAATTACCCTTAATGATGGTATAAGTATGACTTTTTTTTAACCTTTAGATCATCCGATCTAATGGTCAAAATGTATTCTTATTTCTTTTACTAAGCACCATTCTCACCGGAGCGTGACCCTATATATATATGATGGTGTTCATTGTTCAATACCACTTAAGGCATTCAAATTTGTCATTCATTTAACACCAACTACACTGACTCTCATTTACATTATGTACACATTATCTTTCCACTAAATATCGCTTAATTTAAAAACTCTTCCACATTTATTAAACTTAGACATTAAATGTATTACAGTATAAAAATTAAAAGCAAGTTGCAAGGTAAATAAATTTTTTTGGCAGGTGAAGCTTAGTGAGTGGAAATAGCACTCGAGTGCTCGACGACACTTCTTGCCTGCGACGCGAACGGGTGGATGAACTATGTGGCGTGGATGAGTGAACACTCGCGGGCTAAGAGGTGGTTTCTGTGTGTATTGCAAACGAGTTCACTCGCAGGCTGAGCGATGACTTCTGCGTGCATCACAAATTGACCAAGCGTGTGATGGGCAATAATCACGTGGTGAGTGGAAAGGGTCACATGGGTCGCATGCAGTGGCGTAGCCTTATAAGGCCAATGTGGGCACTAGGAAAAAAAATACTATCTAACATATTTAAATTTTTGTGTGATTGATAACTTGTAGGGCTCTTTGTATATTAAATAAGATATATTAAATAAAGCATTTCATAAAGTATAATTTACTTTTTTTTGTATCAAATTATGGAGAAATATTTTTATAAGTAGCCTCGACAAAAAAGTGCATTTGAAAATATTTCAAAATTAGCTACTTTTATTCCAAATATACTTGCGTTGAATTACAATACTGTTAGACTGAAAGAAAATGTAAAGTCCTTATTGTAGAGTCATACCAAGCTATGAAAACTCATAAGAATGTCTATGAATGTGTATTTTTTGTATTTATACTTTGTTAGGATGTACAATATTTGTTTTCAAAAAACAAGTTGGCCCCACTCGTCTTATGAGCTAGATCTGCCCCTGGTCGCATGCGTTGTGAATTTTCTTCTGAGGGCTTTCGAAGTTCGCAAGGTGACCGAGGAATGGTGATTTCACGGGCTGAGCAAGATGAATTTGCAGCGTTTCTAGGCATATTGTCCGGGCGTCTTACCCAAAAATTTTGGAGCACACACAAACGCCATTCCGTTGGACGAAAACTGGCAGAGACGAATTTACGTTATGGCTAGGGGTGGCAATTGTCCC